ATTTTAATAATAAAAGCCAGAATGTTCATTACAAGCTGCGTTATTTTTGGCATGCTGGGCTAGGAGAAATAAAACAAAAACACCAACTTTTTGTGTTTTCACAAATGAATAGAGAGAGCTACAATAGTATGAATCAGTGATTGATGAGAACTGCCGTGACCCACATAGGAAAGTATGGAGAGTGCCCGAATAAAAGTTTCACCACTGTGTCATGCAGCATTCAAAGTTCTGCGTGGGAACAAATAATATAACTCTATCCATATCGATATCTATCTATCTATCTATCTATCTATCTATCTATCTATCTATCTATCTATCTATCTATCTATTTATCTATCTATCATCTATCCATCCATCCTTCCGTCCATCTACATCTGTCTGTATATCTATTAATTATTTATCAATTATCTATATTCATTCTATCTATCTATCTATCTATCTATCTATCTATCTATCTATCTATCTATCATCTATCTCTTTATCTATCTATCGTACCATACATCTATATCTGTCTGTATATCTGTTTATTATTTATTATCTATCTATCTATATATCGATCAGCTATCTATCTCTTTATCTATCTATTCTTCCAACCATCTATATCTGTCTGTATATCTAATAATTATTTATCAATCAGTTATCTATCTATCTATCTATCTATCTATCTATCTATCTATCTATCTATCTATCTATCTATCTCTCTATCTATCTATCCATCCAACTCTTTCCAGTCCACTTCTTTCTCTCCTGATCTGTGTCAATATATTAGAACCAGTGAGATAGCATCTAATTATGTTCCAGTTGACCCATGCCCTCCTCCATTCATATCTTAATAAATTTCCATCCCAATGACCTTTCATCAGTTCAGAATTGCCCCATAAATGTTTAAAAACAATGTTTCACTGAAGACAACCTCCCCTTCCTTTTAATAAATCAGATCATTTATCAGCCCTATAATGTATATTTTATAAACGATGAGACAGTGGCTGAAGTATAGTCATGAGGAGAAGATTGATCCCCTTGTACAGTGACATATAAAGAGGGGACATTTCTTCTCCTTCTCTCTCTGAACCCTGGCAGTGTTTAAGTTGAAATGAGCAGTTCCCTTGTTATGAATGTAACACCATAGGGCTTGATTGAAGATGATAGGATTCGCTGCATTGTTTGAGAAATGTGTTTCCAGTCAATGCTGCAGACCACAATCCACAAATAAAACTTGTAGACTTGGATGGAAATGAATTAAGTCAGGATTAACTCTTTAAACTCAGCTGTGATATTTTCATCAACTTTTTTTTTCTCCAGCTGTATTACATTTGTCATTAACAGAACTGGAGGGGTGTTCAATAAACCCTCACAAGACACTGTCAACTGTAACAAAAAAAATCCTGATCTAGTACTTCAACTCAGGACTATGATTATTAAAACTATAGTCTGCATAGTTTATATGTGTGAGCTTATAGGCAGCAGTGAAGTATTTTATGTAGTGGGTTTAAATCAACACTGAGAGGAGCTGGGAGAAAGGCAATGCTTTATGGTTTGGGACTGTGTTTGCTTTGGGGGGTGTAAATTAAATGTGAGTGGGGGGTCACGGGCACCAAAAAGAAGACAGCAATATTTAGGAAGGGAGCTGAATAGGGTCAAATAATTGATGTGGAGGTCTCTCCTCTTGATAAGTGAATCAAACTTATTACAGAACTGAAGTAAAATTAGATTTGCCCTGACAGATTATGAATAAAGGGATTTCTATGGCGTGATACAGGATTACACAGCAGCAATACGTGTAAGGATTAGGTGAAAGGCTCCATGAAATGAAGGGAGTAGTAGTAGTGTTTTTGTGTGCTAGCAGGAGGTGATGTGGGGATAATACAAGGCCTGTCTATAACAAATCGGGGTTCCCCCCATCTGCCAACGTCTAATGTCCTCTCTCTGTATACAGCGGCGTGGGATTGGCAAGGGCACATTTTGAGAAGCAGCCCCCTTCCAATCTGAGGAAGTCCAATTTCTTCCACTTTGTCCTGGCTCTCTACGACCGACAGGGGCAGCCCGTGGAGATTGAAAGGACAGCCTTCGTGGGCTTCGTGGAAAAAGAGAAGGTAAGGGGTAATGCCCAGGTGTGCCTAGGTGGCAATCTTCTGAAACAGTTTCCAGAGACAGTTTGCTCCTGGTCTAAAGTTTGCCCTCTAAAGTGCTGTCTGGGAAGACCGAGGAGCAGTAAATATTTTATAACCCTTATATTAAATTTGAAAGTAATGCGTGTGCATTATGTTTTAAAAAGACCTTTATAAGCTTAAAGGCAAACACAGTATTGTGTGAGCGATCAAACATGTAAAAGTTTTTAAAGCAAAGTGGTCAGTTCCGAAATAGTCAGAATTAGTTAAGTATTAATTGCCCTGGGGCAGCTGGCAAATATGTATTTTTATTTTCCCACTTGTCCTCACCTAAGTCAGTATTTGTACCCCCTAAAATGAACCCCTTCATTTATTAAATAATCATATCATTAAATATAATTTACAATATAACAACCCTTATATTTTAAGAATGACTTTTCTTCATCGCATGAAATATTCTCTCCTTTTAATAACCTTACCACCTGCCCCATATCATTATTAATCCTGTGGTGCAAAATAATATCATTGTGAAATATAGATGCTATATTAATCTTTCATTATACTGTCCCTTCCTCCCCTGAGCGATTGTTACATTTTTATTTTGTTTGCTCCTTACAATGCAATCGCAAAGCTTATATGATAGGAAGACTTCGTGCTATTTTTTTTTAAATTTTTTTTTATAATAATAATAATAATAATTACAATAATAATACGATTTTTAAACACATCATGATTGCATTAATCAGAGGTTGTTGTAATGTTTTTAAAATGTATTTTTATTCTTAAAATCAGGAAACCAGCAGTGAAAAGACCAATAATGGAATCCATTACCGACTACAGCTGCTCTATAGCAACGGTAAGTATTGGAGGTTAAAGTTCTGAATGAATGTTGACAGCTAGAGGTAAAAAGAAAAAAGTTTGCACAGGGATTCTAAATAACTTTGTGTGGTTGGATGTTGTCAGCGTTCAAAAGACCCAGAATTGTTCCAAATAGAGAGTTATAATGTGACATGTAGTGCTATATATGTATGTGTTTCTATACCAAATGTAGCACGTGTTCCCCAATGCCATCCTCATGTATATACTTTATATTTAACCAGCAGATCCGTTATCTGCCCCCTCTAATACACTGCAATTAGCAAAGATAGAAAAGAAGAGCACTATTTACATTTATACACTTTGTTAGAGTCAATGACACTTGCAGAAATATCAATATTAAATAATTTACCTATTTTCCACCTAAAAGCTTAAATAAGTATTATTACTGCAGAAAACAACAACTAATCACAAAATAATTTACCTCAAAGAAATAAGGGTCTAAAAAATAAAAAAAAAAGTCTTAAAGAAATAAGGATCTAACACAAAACGATACAAAGTCGCAATTATTTATTTAGTTTCGTGTTCAGATGCAAAGACAAGGCTTGGATTCTTGTAACCAGATCCCTCCGACACTTATATACAGGATTAACCCTTTGTGCTCCGCGGACTGGAAGTGATACGGATTTTACAGATGCCATGTTTGCAGTACTATAATGGAGCTTTCAAATACACCGGCTGTCATCTACTTTTATATCAGGCCGGGACTCTGCTCATCAGATTATCTGGTGACTTGTAATTTATAGGGGGGTTAACTCTTCCAGTGCCAAATAAAAACCCTTTCGGGCTGTATGTGGATTCAAATCATTCTCATTTCTGCGACTATTTTAATGATAAAGGAAGACAAAGTCCAAGTGCTAGGATGAAGTTTGTAACACTGAATGTTACTATATGTATATATGGGTCTATAAAAGGCAAAAGGTTCCTGTATTATTGGTCTATTGTACGATATTCATATCATGGCTTTCCAAAGGGTTGATTGTAATGTATGTAATGCATACCTGTATGTATGTGATGAATGATTATAATGTATGTAAATTCATGTATGTATGTGATGATTATAATGCATGTAATGCATGTATGTATGTGATGATTATAATGTATGTAATTCATGTATGTATGTGATGGTTATAATGCATGTAATGCATGCCATAGGTGATGATTATAATGTATGTAATTCATGTATATGTGATGGTTATAATATATGTAATTCATGTATGTATGTGATGATTATAATGTATGAATGTATTTTGCATTATTACAAGATGAAAGCATGTGTATGTTGTATATTGTGTTATTATATTATAAAAGCATGCCATTTTGTAATATAATGTTATGATACATGTGTGTGTGTGTCTATTGATTTGTCTACCTAGTTGTCTATCTGAGCTATATTTCTAATGTATCTCTTATAGTTCTATCTCTTGTGATCTATGCATGTACATTATAATATAGTAAGTGTGTGTGAATGTTTATAAATAGATAAATACGTTTAATAATTACTCTTGCTGAGAATGAGTGTTTTGCCCTTTATTTGGGAAGTTGATCAAACCTTATTTGTATTCCTTATTGTATATACAATCGATGTTGCTGGATTGGCGACGTTTCGGTTCCTCTTTGGGACCTTTATCAGGGAAGAGACATGCACATTCCTGTTGACATCTTTGTCCTTTCCTTCGCAGGTATTAGGACAGAACAGGACTTTTACGTACGATTAATAGACTCCATGACCAAACAAGTAAGTGCTCACGTTTGAAAAAGCAGACATCCCGGCATGTAAATGAATATATCGCTCGCAGTGTCCGGGTCATGCAGTAAAGAGGAAGATGTCAGTATGTCGATCAGTGTGTTGTGCAGACCTTCTTGGACAATAAGTGCTTGTGTGCCCTGAATGGGTCTTTTAGGAGCCTCTGTGTATAGGAGATGTGACATGCGCAGGGCTATCTGTGGGTTTTGGTTTAGTGGCTCACTGAGCAAGAGGTCGGACTGGGTGATGACAGATGGGTAGGGCTGGATTACAAAGGCTGGAGCTGAACTTTGTTACAGGACTGTTTTACTGATTGCTGGTATGGGTCATATCTGTAAAAAGTGAATCAAGTGCTGTGAAAGCTCCTTTGCCCTAGGGTACAGCTGGTGTATGACTAAAAGTCACAGCATGCCCTGGCAGTAGGAGAACATGTTGTGGTTATGGCATGCTTAGCAGTCACTCTGTGTAGTTTACCAGCTGCTGTGATGCTAAAACTCTGAGTGCCCACACTTGTGCTTGCTGTGCCAGCAGGCTGCAACCAAGGCTTCTACTGTCCTATAGGGCACTGTTATTGACCAGCTGATGACCTACAAGTCTCAGCAGATGCCAGACATTAGTTAGTAGCTCTAAAACAGAAAGCTAAAGGGTACCAGATCTTCTAGGGCATGGCTTTAAAAATGCATGTTTACAAACACAGTTCAGATTGTTTACCAACCACAGGACACCTTTTATAGCTGCTCATTGGTAAAATGAATATCCAATTCAGTGCCAGCTAAATTTCAGATAGCAAGCTCTGCCCCCCTTTGCAGAGAGCTGATCCTAACCTATCACTTGTCTGGGATCCTATGACCCAAGTAGTGATCAATCAGCCTCAGCCCTGTGTCTATTGTAATCATTCTAGAGTATTACAGTAGCAGGCAAGGGTTGTTATATGAAAATAAATAATTCTGAAAATGACTGAATCATTATAAAGAGCTAATTAGATTGACAGCAGTATAGAAATCATGCTTCTATTTTAACCCTTTTCCTTAAAACGCTTTTTATAAAGCAAACATACATCTGATATTCTCATTTTTATTTTCCACAAAGCACCCCAGTCTCATTGTAACCTCCTTCCTTCCTGTGAATGTTATGCACTTCAGACTGTATTTTTGGACCTCTTTGCAGACACCTCAGGCATTTCCTCTTTTTTTTAGACAATCCTCTAGTAATATTGAATGTCTTTTTTTCTGATTTTTTTTTGATTAAAGAAAACACTGTGCACTAGTTCATGTATCATCATAAACAATATATTATACTAAAAGCTGTGCTTTTATTTTAGTCACATTGCTGGAATAGCCATTTAAATTATTTTTTAAAATGCAAGATATGTTATAGTGGAAGTACTGAATATCTATAAACAATTTTTAAAATTAAAAAAATCTGTACGATGCAGTTTAAAAATATATAACTAAACATGGATGAGCAGTAATATTCCTAGTTTTTTCTACAGTATTTGGCGATATGTATAGACAGGAATATATAAATATATATATTTTAAAATCTATATATAATATAATTAATGCATTGTTGTTAGAGTTTACCCTTTTTCCTATAGGATGTATTTTTACAATATTTTTACAGTTTGTTTTAAGAAGCCCTCTACTTATTTTATTTATTTTGCTGTTTATTGAATAATTTAATTCATTTCTAAATTGATATTTAGATATTTAGTAGTAAAAACATATTTTAAGATAGACAGTATCCTGTATATTTCAGTTTAGTTTGAGGGTATATTTGGCCCTTGATAATATTAGGCATCTGTCACAAAGTCTTTTTCATTTCTGACATGAAAATAAGTCTGAAATAAGCAAAATATCTATCTATCTATCTATCTATCTATCTATCTATCTATCTATCTATCTATCTATTTATCTATCTATCTACGTGTATGTGTAGGTATATGTAGAAAATGTGTGTGTGTGTTTGTGTGTACTGTATATATAATATTGTGTGTATATAGATATATAGATAGATATGACTGACTGCATATATTTGTTCATATATCACATACATAAAGCTGTACGATATGGGCTAGAAAGGGTAACAATGCACGGTGTAATATAGGTGAATAGTTCATGTTGATGCGCTGAAATGAAGCAGAAGCTGTGTTGTTTATGCCTCTTCCTGAAATTAGTGCCACACAGGCTTGACAGATGTGACTAGGGAAAAATCCTGTGAAAAGCTGCAGCCTCAGATGCATTTTACATGAGCTAGTAACCTGGAAAGTTATCTACGCAGAAGGCAAAGAAACTACAGTGTTCTGAGGTCAGATCCTCATACTGTATCATTCCTCAGCTGTCTTCTGCAGACAATCTCTTGCACGACAGAGACCATCTCATATATATATATATTCACACACACACATTATACTCGTTATACTTTTAACATAAGAGAAGATACATTCCCCAGCACACAATCCAGATGTTTTTGTTGCATACTTTTGCATCCATTGCATCTGAAGCCACAATGCCACGTTTAGGCACCTCTGCAAATTGTGATCCCTAACTCTAAGGATTCCATTTTTGGTTCATATATAGCAATGCATTAATTGAGAGAAAATTTCCCTGGAGGCAGCCACATCCTCCTTAAAGGTACAACATCACTCAAGAAGGCCATATCTCCCCAAGGCAGCTGAAGACATCCAGTGTGTGTCTGTATCAAATGTAAAAAAAAAAAAAGCAAAAGAAATATCAGCTGCTCAGGTCAGTTTATAACTACCAAAAAGGAAAAGGTGCGCATGAGTAGGGCCATACACTGAACAACTAGTCAGCATAATAAAACTATTTTAGAGTGTGTTTGTGTGCACTAGCACAGTCAGTAAACTTTCTCCCCAAGATCCTTCAGCCTTAGCTACAGGCTAACATTGAAGGTTCTCTTGGTCTCTCCAGTTGTTGCCTCCTTGAAATGAGATATCAGTGTACACCTCAGGCTCAGGGGTCCCATGAGATGAGAATTTTTTGCACCAGTGCATGAAGTAAATAAGAGTAACAGAAAGCCTCTGAACGTTGGAGCATTACCTGGTTGGCCTGGGAAATTTTAGCCAAGTTCTTTGTCGGCGGTGTAACAATAAGTCAGAGCTGTGTGGTACTCAGTAAGGCTGACCATACACAACTCAATAAGGCCAAGTTGTGTTTCTAGTTTTGAGCATTGCTTGTGATTATTTGTCCATTTCTGGACTGCTAGGAGGCAATAATAAGCAACATTGGATGGCACCAGTATTAATTATTTTACAGGAGATTTACTTTGCTAGAAAATTTTCCTGCAAGTGGGTTTTGATTAAAAAAAATTCACTGCCGTTGGGTCATGACCCTAAAGTGACTTGGGTAGATTTTGTTCCCATATCTGTTCATCCATAGCCAGCCCTGGAAAAGTTCCACCTTAATGTTTTAGATGGCACCTGTATGCTAGAGGTCATATGAATCTTTTGAGGATTTGACTATCTTTTTACCTTTCCACCTTTTTGCCTTCTTACTCTCTCTTTCTCCACTACCCTTTCTTTCTTTGCATCCATCTTTATTTCTCTTGTCTCTGACTTCTTCCCTCTACCTGACAATAAATTAGATTGCTCTTAAAGGTTCCAAACCAATAGCAAAGACTGATATTAGCTTCTAGTCACTGGTGGAAGTCCAGAAGTAGCAGAACCAACAGCGTGTCCCTATTAAGTGATTTTTATTGATGGCTTAAAGAAGGTCTCACCTATACCCATCACATGTACCCAGCAGGATAGGACACACTGGTGGTTCCATCTCTTCCTCTGTGCTCATATCTCTTCCTCTTTTAATCAAGGTCTATTATTTCACCTTGTGTTTTGGGTTTTGTTTTGCCCTTCTAAAAATATGCCTCCCACCTTTCTCTGCTTCTTTTGTATTTAAAATAGACTTTATTTAGAGGATATTTTAGCGTTGCCAAAGCAAATGGGGCTCCAATAGTGATGGGAATGTGCTTCATATATGGGTACAGGAATTATGGGGCGGTGGATAGGATCTGTATATGAAATCTAAGAAAAATAAGTCTATGTGGTGTATTATGTTCTTCTAAATCTACGATATTTTGTTACCTGCTGGGCAGCTATTTCTGCTGTCAGTCCTCTTTTCTTCCGGACGAAAATCTACATTCCTGTCCTCCCTATTTCTTTCTGCTATTCCCCGTACTACTCTTCCTCTCTCTCTTGCTCACTTCCTATTTCCTTCCCTTCCCCCCTTCTCTCAGTGGCTCTATCCCTCATTCTCTATTAGTCTTCTTCATTTACTCTCTCTCTTTATTTGCTCCTCTACAGTATACTCCTTTCTGTCCCTCTTTCCTTTCATTTCTGCCACTCTCATTCTCCCTCTCTTTCCATTCCCTACCCTTATTCTCTCCCTATTCCCTGCCCTTTACTCCTCCTCTCTCTATCCTTCTTTCCCTTCATTTCTGTCACTCTCTTTCTCTATTCCCTACATTCATCCTCTCCTATTCCTTACCCTTACCTCCTCTCCCTGTTCCTCTTTCCCTTTTTCTCTGTCATTCTCCTTCATTCTTATTATCTCTCTATTTCTCGTTCTCCATTTCTTCCTCTCTCCCCAATTCTGTTTCTCTTTCCCTCAATTCCTATCACTCTCCCTCTCTCACTCTCGCTCTATTCCCTCCCGTTTCCCCCTCTTTCTGTCCCTCTTTCCTTCAGTCTTTGTCAGTCTCCTTCATTCCCTCTCTCTTCCTCACTCCCCCCATTTCCTCATCTCTACAGTCACTATATTCTATTTGCACTAATAGGGTACTTGTTAGGAAGAGCGTAGGATACTTGATACATAAACTTATCCAAATGCGACTTTATAATTTATGACCCGAGGTAAATATATGGAATTTCTTTTACAAGCAGCTCTCACACTTGAAATAATTAAGAGGCGTAGGATCTTTTTTTTTTTAATTCTGTCAGAATAAGGTTAACCATTAGAATATTCTCAGCTACATTG